AATTTTGAGAACCAATGTGAAGATTGATAGAGAAAACGTGTTTATCTAAATTGCAACTAATGTGAGGCGATTCTGGACATTTTGGCACTTAAGTTAGTGGACGTTACATGGCAGCTTCTAACTCGTCCCTCCTTGTTACTTGGATCTGTGTTTCTTTGGCCATTTAAGGACCGTTCGATCACTCGAACGGTGGAGATCAAACAAGATTATTATCTCTTGGGTTCTAGTGTCTTCGATGGTTGGTGAGACTTTCATTTTGCTGCCTTTTGGTCTTTCGTTTTTCTCTCTCTCTCTCTACTTTGAAGATTTTCTTCTACTTTCTTCTTGGCTTTTAGAATCTGGAGAGTATTACTCCTTGTGTGATTCTTGTAAATCAATTGTGCTACAATAACTGATAGGCCGATTGTGTAGGCGATCCATTGTAGTTTGAGTTAGTGGCCATTTTTTTAGGAAGGAGACTTTCTATCTCCAGATTTGAGATCCGTTTGGATCGATGATTGATCTGGCTGTTTTCGTTGGTTCTCTGTACTTTAATCTCTCCGGGAGATAGAATTGTACTGGTGGATTGGACTGACCATGAGCCCCCCAGATTAAGTCGTTTGGGCCAAACTTAGTGAACATTTTAGCTGTGTTATTTACTTTTCTTGCACTATGCGTTTTGTGTTGATCTCGATTTTGGGTCAAAATACCCAACAATTACATTCTTATAGAACACTCACTAACAGGCTTTATAGCAAACCCTGATTGGAAACTCGATCACTTTATTAAATCACTAGGGTTATCTTTCGACTATATAGCTACATTCGCTTCACATCCCATCTTACCCTTCTGTTTATCCTTTTTCTTAGGACAGTCCTTAATAATGTGTCTAGACTTACCACATTTGTGACACCGTCTATGCCTAGACTTGTTCGTCCCTTACCTTTCTTCTTACCACCCTCACCACTCGAGTCACAACTCGAATCACTACTATCTTAAGTTCTACCTAAATTCATTTGCTTAAACATCATTCCACTTCTCATTATATGTAACTTATCACTCATCTTATCTTCTTTTGCAACTTGAAATAAAATAATGACTTTATACATTTAGACAATTTTTCATCACAATTAACGATATCCTGAACAAGTTTGTTGAAAATATCCAAAATGTTATCAAGATCATTTAAATGTGTTATTTTAAAATTGAAAAATCGTTTAAGCAAGTACAACTTATTAGAAGTGAACTTAAGCATATATAAGTCCTCTAACTTTTGCTAAAGTTCTTTTCTAGAATCAAGCTTTTCTCAAAACAGTGTTAGATAAATGTAAAATAATTGTAGTGTAGACAAGTTCATCATATTCTTCCTTTTGTGCTTCTATAAAATTTGTAGGAAATTTACCATCTACGAGTTTTTAAACTTTTTGTTAACCAAAATTCACTTCATCTTTTGTTGTCAAATTAAAAAAATTTCATTTCACATTGAAAATTTCAACTTCGAAATGTAAACACATTTTGAGAAAACAAAATAACTAAGTGCACAAATAGGTCACATAAAGTAATCCTAAGACCGCAGTATGCACCGTTATAAATTTTCATGATTTCGTAAAGATTCAAAATTTTAGATCAAGAGAATGTTCAAATGGATCAAGTTTAGGTGTTTTAATAGAATAGTCAATGCAACACGAAGGTATATTAACAAAAATTTGAAATTCTCACATAATGCAGTCTCACATGGTGACTAGACAACACTTATAGTATAAAATCAATAATGAACTTGCAATTAAATTCAACACTTCGAATAGAGCAAATAGTTCCAAATTTTTTAGCACAAGCAATGTTACCATACACGGTAACCCCAATCCTAATGTCATCTTACACGATGATGCGTTAACATTGAAAATCAAATTGGGATAAATCAATATACTAGGGAGGACCAATTTAAGTTCGTGAATTACGAGGTATGGGAATTTAACACTTTAGAACTACTACTATTCATTATAAAGTTTCCAACAATTGTAGGAATCAATCAACCACAATCAAATCCCGAACTTCTGAAGAACAAAATCGTCCAGATTCCATTATATAACTTGAAACAAAATACTAACAACACTAAAAATTAAAAAAAAAAAATTATCAGGAACAAACTGCCTGAAGAGACCTCCGCCAGACGACGCTGAATGCACACTTACACGCTACCAAGAGCCTTTATGCATGGGCTTCATGCGCCGCCACAAGCACTATCGAATAATCTCATGCGATAATCACCCTAGTATGCCTCCACTTATACGTCACGCCGGTGGCCTCTATTTCACAAACTCCTTCTAGATTTTTCGGAAGTCATGAAACCAACCTCGAATTTTTGGCAATTTTCTGGACAATTTTGCGAGCTGATTTTTTCTTCTTTCAGCCAATTTTCTGGACTGTTTTTGGTTAGTTTTTCATGCTAGATCCACTACCTTGAAAATTTGATACCAATTGTTACGAAAGTTTGTTCCAATGTTCATCAAATCGGTATTTTTGAGCTCAGTTTTACGTTACCTTTTTCTACTAAACAACCAAACCAAACAACTCCAATCCACAGCCGATATATTCACATCGGTTACTTCTCAATCTTATCTACAAAGGACAAGATAATGGTGTTAATTTGTAGCCACAAATGTAAGAAAACCCAATGCAAAGATACACAAGAGAAGAACAAAAACACAAAGAAGCCACCGATTTTCGGAAGCACAAAGCAGTCGATTTTTCTCCAGTACGGCCAGCCACGTTTTTTTCAATTGTACATACAGGGGTGAATCCAGCCGTTTTGGGTTGTGGGATCAAAAATTAGAATCGTGCTACAGTGCCCACATGAATGATCGCGGGTTTGACACAACACACACATGAGGTCGGGATTATTTTATTCATGAGAACCTCGCTGGGCATGTGAGGGCGCGGTCACTTACAAGTTCATCCTCGCGGGTTATGTTTAGTTCCAAAAATTAATGTGTAATTTTTTAAAACAATATAATATTTATAAAAATAAGTTAATACATATTTTGACATCTTCAAAGTGACTTATATTTCTATCATTACCAATATTGTTAAATGAATTTTGCTACATGTATAATTATGTTTATCATGTCAATTATGAATGTTGAGTTAAGGACGAGTAAATCAAATTGAATGTAAAAAGCAAATGAAATTTAAGTTTAACAAAAAAATAATTTGAAAGTAATTCAAATTACATTTAATCCGTAACAATTTTAGAATTTTTGACATCATATTTAATGTAAAACTTCCTAAAAAATGATGTAAATTATATTGGAAAATTTATCGTGAAAAAATAATAAACGTTAATGAAATAATTGATTTTTTTTATAAAAAAGACGAGTTAAACGTCTCTTTTAATACGTACGTTTGACGCATATTTAACTATTTTCAATATCTATTTGGACCATTCGATATAACTACGATGTAGTTTTCATAACGAATTTCTAGATGATACAAGCGATTTGTAGATTTGGATAGTATATGATCATTGGCAAATTTTAAAAGTTAACATATTATCAAAATTTTCGAAATACTAATTTGGAATGACCTACTTTAATACATCGTATCTTTTGCTATGGTCGATCATTTCGCACACAATTAAGAAGCAAAAAATTAGGTCATGAACACTTAGATATGATATTAAGAATGTAATATTTCGATTTCATTTGGTATGTATTAAAGTGGGTCGAAAACGAGTTAAAACAACCATTTTTTGGAAAGGAAAAAAAAACCCCCCAAAATTTTGTGGGGTCATTTGACCCCACATGACCCCATGTGAGTCCGCCCCTGTGTACATATGAGTTAATTGTTCCAATGGTCACTGAACTTAAGTCTATGTCATTGATTGGTCATTAAAGTTTAAAATGTCGAGTTTTGATCACTCAACTTAAATCAATGTCTTCGATTGCTCACTGAACTTATGTCCATATCTTTGAGTGATCACTGAAATTTAAAATGTCAAATTTTGGTCATTAAACTTAGGTGAATACCTTCGATTGCTCACTGAACTTAGGTCAATGTTTTAGATTGCTCATTGAAGTTTAAAATATCGAGTTTTGACCACTGAACTTTGAAATATATCGTATGTTGCTCACTAGCATAGTTGTTGAACTTTAAAAAATATCTAGTTTACAATGAGTAATGTATAATATTTTTCAAAGTTTTGTGAGTAATGTACAATATTTTTCAAAGTTCAGTTATCAAAACTCGACATTTTAAATTTCAGTGAGCAATTGATGACATAAACCTAAGTTCAGTGACCGAAACCCGACATTTTTCAAAGCTCAGTTGTCAAAACTCGACATTTTAAATTTCAATGAGCAATCGAAGACATGAACCTAAATTCAATGACCAAAACTCGATATTTTAAATTTCGGTGACCAATCAAAGACATATACATAAGTTTAGTGACCATTATAACAATTAACTCTTGCAAATACAAATCACACACAAAAAAGGGTTAGGGTAGGAGCACATATATGTAGGGTTAGGTCAGGATTTAGTTGGATCAATAATAAGGTTAAATGGGTCAAGATTCAAAACCATTTAAGAGGTAATATAAACACATCGGATTGAGCTTTTGGAATTGGTTGTTAATAATTATTTCACTCATCAGTTGAAATCTATGAAATATATTTCGACGTTTAATATCATAGCCCAATATTTATTGGGTATCAAAATCCAACAGAATGTGTTTGGAATTATTTATGTTTTTCACAACTTTTTTTCAAGTTTGATTGTACCCCTAATTCAAATTGTTAGAGTCCGCCATTGGTTATTTAAGAGGAGCAAGATATGAGGATGACAAGAAGGAAGATGTGTAAATCATCCACTGGGAACTTAGTGTTACATCGTCAAAATGTTGGAGATTAATTTGTTATACACTTAGAAGATTGAGGACGAATAAACTGTGAAAGAGAAGTTTATAACCCGTTTGGACAACTTTATTAAATTGATGGTCTACACTATAAATTTTCTCTTAATTATTTGTCGTTCGCAGTCGAATCCTAAATCCTTTTGTCCGAGCTTCAACACGTTCTGAGCAGAGCGGGACCCTAGAGTACTCTCAGAACAATCGAAGATGTTGAGAGTGGCTGGAAGGAAGTTGACTTCTCTCTCATGGCGGTCGGCTCAACTATCTCCGGCTGCCGCTTACTTAAGCAGCAATCCAATTAACGGCATCGATTCTTGCGATAATCCGACCAAATCCGTCTCGTCTCCCCTCCATTTATCCTCTACTTCCGCTTTCCTCCATCAAATTGTTGGTAAGCCTTTCGACTTGTCTCTGGTAGGGTTTCATTTGACATATCATCTTGCCTTATTTCTATTCTTTGATATGAGACAGTTAGGGGGATTAGTCAAGGTAAGGAATTTGGAATTTTAGCTAGTTATTTTTTTCGTATGAAGTTCGAATCTTTTGATTATTGAGATATATAAAATGAATCTAATAATGCTTGTATATTAGTTTATGTTGGAGGACAGTTGCTTTTTAAACTGAAACTACCTGTATGTTTGGATTGTGATTTTGATGTTCACTGTTCATCTTCCTTCTGTCCGTATACAGAGGGTTGTCATGTGGATTAAATTCAAATTAAGAAAGCTATATCCTTATGAATTTATCCTCTGTTGCTTTTTGTCAAGCTAATGAATATAATTGCTTATTCTTTTTCTTCTCTGGTTTGGTTTTGCTGTAACCAAATTTTTTTCTGTCCCTGTTTTTCAGCAAGATAAGGTATCTGTTTTGCAAAAATGCTACTCTTCCAAATTACTGTTCTCAGTGGCATTTGCTGCACTTGTAACATCTTGCAAGTTTGCAATGTATGCGAATTAGATTATTAGGACAGAAAGTTGGAACACTCAAGTATTGTGGTCTGTGTGGGAAGTTTTTGGGCCTCTAGCCTTTCTTTACCTTGCTAAGATCCTAACTGATCAGTCAGCAAACACTACCAAATGATGTTATCCACTTGTCCATTTGTTTAGCTAATGAATATAATTGCTTATTCTTTTTCTTCCCTGGTTTGGTTTTGTTGTAACAAAATTTTTTCTGTCCCTGTTTTTCAACAAGATAAATGATATCTGTTTTGCAAAACTGCTACTCTTTCCAAATTACTTTTCTCAGTGGTATTTGCTGCATGCGTAACATCTTGCAAGTTTGCAATATATGTGAATTAGATTATTAGGACAGAGTTGGAAAGCTCAAGTATTGTGGTCTGTGTGGGAAGTTTGTGGGCCTCTAGCCTTTCTTTACCTTGCTAAGATCCTAACTGATCAGTCAGCAAACACTACCAAATGACGTTATCCACTTGTCCATTTGTTTAACAGTATGAATTAAAGTAAGAGAATTGACATTGCTGCTGAAGGGTAATACTATGAAAAGGAATTAGAAATTGTGTAATTAATTGAACTTTAATATAATTACCAATTGCTGTGGTTTGAGCTGTCCTGCGCTTTTCTTATTTATTCATATCTCAATCTTTTGACTGGTGTTGAAGGAATAACAGTCACTAATTAGGTTTGGAGCGAAATATAAATTCCTGTTATTTTATCAGCTAAGTTGATGCAGAATATACGAAGTATTCTTTTAAATTTCATGTTTCATATAGTCTATGAAACAATGTATTGATTCTTTAGTCTTCTTTTAGCCCCTGTTTCGCCCCCCATTAAAATTATAATGCATTTTTCTTTCTCTTCTTATCAACCAAATATTCTCCAATAAAATAATATTACACATAGCTCCAAAATTTTTTATTATTTTGTAGCTACACATTATTCCAAAAATTACCATTCTAAAATACAATTTTCCCAAATTCTCATTATAATGGGGCTAAACAAAGGCTTAAATTCTCTGTAAGTTGTTATGCCCCTGCCTCCACTCTGTGTTCAAATCTTTCAATCAATATACGATAGTAGGGGACAAAGCCAAACCTCCCCATTCAGATTTAGGTACTCTGGCTTAAAACTTCCCGATTCTTGAATAGATTTCCCCAAAAAGCAAATTTAAAAAATAGTAGATTCAGAATGTGAGGAGTCTTTGATCCATGGATTGGTTTATGAACAGATACCTTTACTTGGAAAGTAAGGAATAATTTTCCATCCAATGTGACATGTAGTAGGATGGAATGCAATAAGTGTTTTTTCTTTGTTTGTTACATTGTAATAAGGGGTCCTATTTGAAGGAAGTCGTGTTCTAGATGAAGGGAACAGATTTGTATGAAGGTAATCATGTAAACGATGCTCCCCCTCCAGCGGGATCAAAAAAGGTTGTATTAAATCTTGGGATTAATTGTCCTGCTAGTTTCTTGCTATTTCTTTGGTTAAAGCTCCATTTATTTCCCCTCTTATCGATGCCGATCCTCTGACCATTCATTGAAAATAGTATTGGACTCTTCGGCCAGTATCTTTTTACCTTATATTTACACACTTGGCTTCCTAGCACTAAGTGCAATCTCCAGCAACAACGGTCCAAAATGCATGAAGATGAATTGCTCGCAAACTATGGACGGTATAGAAGATTCACTTCACGCATACACCGAGAACACGGCATAGTCACACCCCTTATAAATAACAAGGCCAAACCGAAGAACCTTACCACGGCTTGACATGCCGCGAATCCTCTTGAAAGAGAGGGGTGCCTTCGGGAACGCGGACACAGGTGGTGCATGGCTGTCGTCAGCTCGTGCCGTAAGGTCGGCTTCATGCAGGCGAGTTGCAGCCTGCAATCCGAACTGAGGACGGATTTTTGGGGTTAGCTCACCCTCGCGGGATCGCGACCCTTTGTCTCGGCCATTGTAGCACGTGTGTCGCCCATACTCTTAATCTCAATGTTTAATTGTGTGTTTGGGTTCTCTATCTTCTACCCTTATGCAGGTGAAGTCATTTGGTTATTCCGAATACTATTCATTAGATTTGTGTTCCAAAAGATCACATTCATGTATGCACATGAATATGCTGTGGATCTCTCTGGTAGCACTATCTGCTTTTTCATCCATGTTCTGTATGTTGGGAGTCACTGATGGGATATGTTTAATGTGTTTTAGCACATTGCTATCCTAAGCTAATCTTGGGCTATTTACCAATGCATGTGATGATTTATCAACCGTTAATAAACTCTTGCAGGGTTTTCTTCAGGTTCGATTGCCCCAGCAGCACATGAGATGGGTTTAATCTCAGATTTACCAGCCACAGCGGCAGCTATCAAGAATCCTAGTCCAAAGATTGCATATGATGAGCACAACCATGAGCGTTATCCACCTGGTGACCCCAGCAAACGTGCATTTGCTTACTTTGTTTTGACTGGAGGCAGGTTTGTGTATGCCTCATTGCTTCGTCTTCTGGTTCTTAAATTTGTGTTGAGCATGTCTGCCAGTAAAGATGTTCTTGCTCTTGCATCCCTTGAGGTTGACCTATCCAGCATTGAACCGGGGACAACTGTCACTGTTAAGTGGCGTGGGAAGCCAGTTTTCATCAGACATCGAACTGAAGAGGACATCAAATTGGCGAACAGTGTTGATATTGGTTCCCTTCGTGATCCACAGGAGGATGCTGGCAGGGTTAAGAATCCCGAATGGCTTGTGGTTGTTGGGGTTTGCACCCATCTGGGGTGCATCCCACTACCAAATGCTGGTGATTTTGGTGGTTGGTTTTGTCCATGCCATGGTTCCCATTATGACATTTCTGGAAGGATTCGTAAAGGACCTGCACCCTTTAATTTGGAGGTGCCCACCTACAGCTTCTTGGAAGATAATAAATTGATGATTGGATGAGAGTTTAATTGATGATAATTCTTATATCTGTTTATTGAAATGAGCCTGGGAAGCCAGATCTACTGTCTGGACTCTTTTTATTTTTATTATTTTTATTATTAATTTAATTTAATTTATTTATTTATTAATTAATTAATTATTTATTATTTTTTTGGGTACGTGTTGTATTCGCCCTTTTATATTTCCTTGCTAATTACGCTTCATTTGACATGAATTTTGTATTGAGGTTCCCGAACGTAGCCCTACTCTTTTCAATAAAACTGGCTTCTTGTTATAGTCATCTTCCATTGATTTGTTGGTTGTGAGTCATACTGCTAGGAATGTATGATTGAATTCTTTTTTTCCCTCCTCATGAGCTGACGGAATGGAACAGTTGGGATTTTGTTTATAATTATTGGTGGTGGACAATTCAGTTCTATTAATTATCGGTCAATATAAATTTTGTTTAATTACATGGATAGTTATTGAACTTTGTTATATGTTAATACTTAATAATCGAATTTAAAAATGTATTTCATTGGTCACTAAATTTTATCAAGTATTGCTATTTCATAATTGTATTTAAAAATAAATATCAGTGGTTACTAAATTATACATCGTGTTACCTATTCATTACTCAAAATAGAAAAATTTGTTAAGCTCAATAAACAGCGTCAACTTGAGTGATATATGAGTAACACGGTGCATAGTTTAGTAACTACTGAGATAAATCTTTGAGGTCAATTATGAAGTAACATTTGACGAAGTATCATTGATATATATTTTTAAGTTTAATTATTAAGTAAAAACAATTTCCTTTTCCTCAAATTGACTACTTTGAAAGAAGAAATTAAAGAGAATGATGGAAAAAAGTTTNAATTATTAAGTAAAAACAATTTCCTTTTCCTCAAATTGACTACTTTGAAAGAAGAAATTAAAGAGAATGATGGAAAAAAGTTTCAGTTTTATTCGATATATAGTTTTCATCATAATGAAAAGTACGCTTGATTTTTAGATCAACTGGTATCAGTTCATTGCATTTCAAATTTTGTATAAAAAGATTGAAAGAGAAATAGTAAGAACACTGAAACAAAATGACAGAGAACAATAAAAAAAATACAAAAATGTTCAAATTAGTGCCAATGAAACTTGAGTCGATTTGATTTTTCAACATTTTCTCCTTCATTTTCTTTAGTTTCTTCTTTTACATAGATCGATTTGAGGTAAAAAATTGTTACTACTTAATAATCGAACTTAAAAAATATATCTAAATGGTCATTGAACATTGTTAAGTGTTATCACTTCATAACTGAGTTAAAAAATATATCTCAATGGTCATTGAACTGTGCACCATGTTACCAATTCATAACTCAAGTTGACTCCGTTTGTTGAGCTTAATGATTTTTTCCATTTGAGTGCTGGATGACTAACACAGTACATAGTTCAATGATAATTAAGATACACTTTTAAGTTCAATTATTAAGTAGTAATATATGACATAATTTAGCACTTATGGGGAGGCAACCTAATTATTTTCTGTATCGCATTGCATATAAATTTGTTTTGATTATTAATTTGCATTAGATTTAGGCACGTTTACATTTATAGGTTATCATCATCCTATCATGTTTCCACTTTGGCCTTTAAATTTAGTATTGATTTTTTTTTTTTCAATTGTTTTGGCTAAATAACACATGTTCTAGGTTATTTGATATTATTTGATATCTAATATTTAATTTGACCGTCATATGCATGAATATGACGTCGTAGAACACTTAAACCAACAAAGGCCAAGGGGAAAGTATGAAGAAGAAGATTTTCGAGCCGTCACCCATGGTGCCTCACTCATTCAACCAAAAAATTGGCAGAGTACCATTTTTCTTTTCTTCCTTGCCCCTTATGTGCTTGTTTATCGTTTATGACATTGAGAACAATGTTGGTTTTAAGTTTAGGGATGGGAAATTTTTTGAATTTTTGGTTTTTGTATGTCTTTGTGTGTTAAGTTAAAAAAATGTTAAATTTTTTTTTTTTTTGTCAATTTTTTTCTGGTTATATGCTTGTATAGGTTAGATAACTTGGCTGACAATGATATGATGATTAAATTTGAGGTTTGGTGTTGATTTATGAACTGTTGATAAAATGCATGCTAGTTTAATTGAAACTTAAATTTGAAAAACTTGATATTATACGTGCACTATAATTGAGTTTGACATTGAATTGAAATGAGATGATTCGTGCATTTGATATATTGATTTAGTTGGACATAAATGCTTTATCCAAATCATACTATTAGTACGGTTTGAAAGAGATTAGAGGAGAAAGAATGGAATGAGGATGGTCAGAAGGCCTTTGATAAGATCAAGATCTATCCTTAGAACAAATTTAGCACAGTTTGGGATGATCTTAATATTGTTTGAAGATACGGATTTGAATTTGAATTCCTTGTGTAAAAAAGTTTATATGGATTGTCTTAAATTAATAGGATAAAATTAGTCGAAAATCTTAAATTAGAGGTCGGTTTGCTTGAATAGGTGTGTGATAAGGGGTATTGCACTGATCAAGACATATATTTTGAAACTTAAAACTACTCTTTTAAGCTTTTTATGACTAAAGTGATTAAGCCAACAAGGGTATCTTAAAACCTAGTGCTCTAAAGTCATTTAACTTGGGAATCATTGGCATAGAGTTTGGTACATGGCGATGACTCGGGTTATTAAATCTGTAAGGGTATTTGAAAACTTGGTGCCCTAAAGTCACCTAACTTGAGAGTTATCGACTTAAAACTTGCTACATGAGTCATCTAGAAAGCTTAAGGAATAGTGG